GTTGGTATCAAAGTCTAGACTTCAAATATCAAGGTTATATCTTTGTCCTTTTTGTTTAAGTCTTTTATTTCATTTTCTTTTCGTTCTCGCGTTCTTCGTTTCTTTAGTTTTTAATCCATAAAAAGACAAAAAATATTTAAAATGTTGTTTTTATGCTAATTTAGCACCCAAATTTGTTTATGTTTCTTTTGCTGGTATCGTAGTTGAATTTTCAAGCAAAAAATTAGAAATTTGCTTGCTATATTCAATTTTAATATTTTCTTCCTTGAGTTAAAAAAAGGGTGTCCAATCAAAATTCAAGAACCACTTTTTTGAAATAATATTTTCCTACCAAAGTATCAAATTCATTTGCTTCTTTTATTTCCTTCCTTGAGTCTTCTAAGTTACAATATCTTACTCACGTCCTAATTTGAATTCTTCAAGAATAAAACTTGGTCGATATCGAACTAGTTATTTGAAGCACTTGAGTGAAAGCATTGAATAAAAAAGACAAGAGTGGTAAGACTAATAAAGGCAAATATACTTTAGATTTAGGATGTCTAACAGAGACGAATCTACTTCAAGCAAGGTGATACGACAGTTCAAGAGGTTGTTTGAAGATGTGAGAGATAGGTTGGATAGGCAAGAGGCATGGACGGAGTGACTAGAAAAATTGTTTGGCAATGTACAAAAGAAACAACTAGAGGAGTTTCCAATGCAACGATGCAAGATAGGCAAGAGCCTATAGTGGAGACTGGTGGTGAATATAAAGTAGGTAGTGACATTAATGAGGATGCATTAATGGAAGTAGAGATAAGAAGAATGGAGAATAGAAGAGTTAGGCATAAGGGAAGTGATAGAGATCTTGTTGAAGATAAATTTGATAGAAGTGTCGACAATATCAAAATGACAATTCCTTGATGCCAAAGAAGGAGTGATCCAGAGGCATACTTGGAGTGAGAGGAGAAGATAGAGTTGATATTTAATTGTCACAACTACTCGGAGAATAAGAAGGTAAAGATTGCAGTACCTGAGTTTACCAATTATGCTATTACTTGGTGGGATCAAGTAGTGACATCTAGGATGAAGAATCGTGAAAGCCCCATTAATACCTGAAAATAATTGAAGGTTATCATGAGGAAGAGGTTTGTGTCTAATCATTGCTATAGGGAGCTTCATTAAGAATTGCAAAGCATCTACTAAGATTCTAGAAGTGTGGAGGATTATCATAAGAAGATGGAGATTGATATTATTAAAATGAATGTTGAGGAGGATTGGGAGACCACAATAGCCCGATTCTTTAATGGTCTAAATAGAGAAATAGCTAATGAAGTGGAATTATAACATTATTTAGGATAGAGGACAACTGTATGTAGCTATAAAGGTCGATCAACAACTAGATATTCATCGAGTTCTTCGGGTTCTAATCCTTTTTGAAAATCGAAGTGGGATAACAACAAGAGAGATGGAGATGTTTCAAATGGCAAAAGTGGACTACTGAAAGGAAAAGAGGAAGTTTTCTAGCAAGTGCACATCCAAGGCATAATTCCAATCATCTAGGAATCGAGACTTCAAATGCTTTAGGTGCTTGAGATCGAGAATTATTGTTTCTCAACGCTTAAATAAAAGAACAATGATTTTTCGAGACAATGGAAAAGTAGTGAGTGATAGTGAGGATGACTATAAAGACAT